TCCCCAGCCAGCATGGGTGGCTGGGGGATTCTGGGAGTTGAAGTCCACTCATCTTAAAGTGGCCAAGTTTGGACAACAGTGATTTAGGGTTTGCAGCACTTTACTGCACTTTTCTTTCTCTGACTGTAGGCTGTTTTCAAGAGCCCCATCAATGACTCCTTTTCCTGAAAGAGCATTTGCGAGAGCTTTCCACTATGTGTAATGCTGAAAGTGACTAGAATTGGCTTCAGGACATTTTAACTTTCAGTTCCTCTGGTCATAATTTACATCTTAATGGCAGAATCTGGAATTAACAGGGATTATTTTTGGTCACTTCTTAAAAGAGTTAACAGAGGGAATAGAACAGGCCAGATGCCTTGAGCTTCCAAAGGAGGCAACCTCTTCATATTCTCACCATTAGGCAGCCTTGAAGAAAAAAGATGCAGGCAATGAAAGTCTGGAGGATTCATTAGGAAAACTGGCAGGATTGGGTGAGCTCCCCTGGAAACAATTAGGTTCCTTGTAGTTTATCAATGTGCACCCAGGTGTCTAAGTCATTAGAGACCATTTTTTGATGATGTGTTAGAAAACAAGTGTGGAAATCAGATTGTTTTTCTTATCAGTTGTTGTGTTCTTTTCAGCTTGTACCACCAACCCTTTCATGCTCAAAATATTCTGCTGCACTCATACTGCAGGTTTCCTCTGTGATGTTGTCATTGCCACCTGCACCATCACCAGCTGCTTCATTTGTTCCACCTTCTTTCAGTTCTCCTCACTGCTACCCAACCACAATGATCCAGAGTCTGTTTCCCCTTTTCACCCAGAGCTCTTATTTTTGCCTCCTTTCTTTTTTCCTGCACCAGACAGATATATGTGCTTCATTTTCTTTTCCAACAAGAGAAGAAAACTAAACCACATTATGAAGGGCTCCTGCTTCTCTCCTCCTCCCTGAGAAAGCAAGTCACAGGAAGCCCCACCCTGAGTTGCTCTTGTGTCAGTGACGCTATTCAATTAAGCTTTGGCAGCCGCCCCACACAAAGGCATCAAAAAAGGGCCATGAGACCAGATGCAGTAGTACTACCTCTCTTGCTATACAGTTCAGCTGTTCTGCCTCTCCCTTCTATTATCTCTTGCCTCATTCAAGAAACCATTTCCTCCCAAAATTGGCTTTGTCCAATAGTCCTGACACCTGTCCTTGCCCACCTCCCAGATTTCCTCTACCTCAGTTCATCATGTGACCTTCCAAATTTCCAAACCTCCCCCGCCCCCAATTTACCAGCTTTACTAGTACCAGGGATGTACAAAGTCAGAAACTGAGGTGGAGGGCCAAGGGGCAAGGAGGCTCACTACTCAGCAGAGGCCTAAGACAAGTTGTCCTGTACTCACCCCAGGTGGCTTTGCCTCCAGATATAATTTCTTGAGCCCTTGGTTTGAATATCAGTGGGCTTATTTCTTCTTAAACCCTTATATTGTCCATTGTTCACATTAACAGGGCATTATTAAAGTTAACTTACACATAAAAGACAGTATGTATAAACCTTATCCCATTGTGATTCCACAAAAGACATCTGGAAATTATCTGCGTGGGCAAATGTGAGATTTTACTTCAATGAGCAAGGTTCAAGACAGGTTATGTCCATGTGGCTCTGTAAGGTTGACAGTCATGCTTCAATATGACAGTCAGAAAAACTAATAATAATAAAAAAAATAATCTAAACTGACTCAGAGAAGTTTTGGTATATAACATGACTAGCTATTCTGTGTTTAGATAAAAGGTGGGATTTTTTTTTTTCCTGTTGAAGCACTCATTCTCAAGATAATGTATTGGGAGCACAAGCAATTGTAGGTAGGAGTAAGGCAAGTGATCAATAAAACCTGAACCGAAACTGGGTGGCACTCATTCTTTCTTTGGCATTCACCCTTTTCTCTCTCATTCTTTCCTTTTCCAACATCTCCTTTCTCTCCCAAAAAGCAGCCAGTTACAAAAAAGACTGACAGCTCTTAACAGAGAGCCAATCATTTGTGGCACGGGGAGCTTTGGAAATCAGACCAAAGCTTTAGGGCCCAGTTTACCAACTTTGGTTTAAATTGTGTCTTTGATGGTTTAAGTAAATGTTGTCATTCAATGAGGTGAATCTCAAGCAGAAGGGGTTAAGGTAGAAATGCAATTAAACTTCCATTTCAGAATTGTGGCAGGTATGAAATCTGGAAAAATCTCATTATGAAACAAGATTCTAATCATGTCACCTAGAAGTTATACTCTATTTAAAGTGCTCCAATTATGTTTCATGTTTCCACCAACATACGGACTAATTTAAAAATGTTCATGGAGAAACCTATTCAGGACACTAATTCAACAAGTAGATACTTCCAGATTCTAGTAGAGCTCCATTATTTGCTTGCTGTGTAGAGCAAGCAAAATGTAAAGTTAGCTGTGAGATACAATTTCCACAGTGAATGCATCACTTTATCCATGAATTCACTGAGTGATATTGAGTAAGTTTGTGTCACTCACTGGCAATCTTTCTGTCTACAATATGGAAATATTAGGGACCTACACTGTATGGTAGTGGTTAAGATAGTTGTGATAAGCCATACTTGGGTAATGTGTTAAAAGTATATACAAATTTTACTTATTTCCATGAGCTAAAATTTAGGCCTTGTGTCTGCAATCCTCCTGTAACTTGCATGTCAAGCTGGAATTCATTCATCACATGTACAATTTCCATGCATCCTATCATTTCCTAAATATATCCAATACTGGATCGAAGCAGTTATAGGAAGGACAGTGGAGAGCTTCAGAGGGTGTGAGGAGCTGATGGAATTATTGGCACCCTATTCAGTACTGTAGCAAAGTGGAAAATGCAGCACAATGTGCATTGTCAGTGGCCACACAGGCACTGAAGATGACAAAATACTGATACAGGGCTTCATGTCATATACATCGCTCTCTTTGCTCCACTACTGCACCAGAATACAGCACCAACTGGTTCTGCTGCACAGGAGAAAGGAAACCTCTCAGAGTGTCTTCTCCTTTTTTCCTCTAACAGTCTGGGGCAGGACCTGCGCCTAAGTGGGGGAGAAAGGGGGTGTGCTTTAATCCTGAGTAGCTGGCACTGAGACTTTGGAGCATCACAAAGGACCACTGATCCAGTCATACCAGTATCCAATACTGGGTCTGACCCAGTATGAAGAATCTCCATATTCAGTGATTTTACTCAGCCACTGCGTGCTAGTCACTGTGAGGATGTGCTTGAACATCTAATGAACTTTGCTTTAAAGTAAATTATTTTAGTACACAAAATAATAAGATAATAGAGTGACCAAGGATTCAGAACTGGAATGAACTTTAAAGTTTGCATTTATCCCTACAGTGATCACCATCAGGACAAAAGAAAAGAGTGGGGGTGGTGAAGTTCTTGAAGATGCTAGGCTTTACTTTACCTTCATTCATTTTTTTAAAAGTCCTGTTATACAACGTCTTTGGCATTCTCAGTGGAAAGGAAGTGCTTTCTATTGAAGCAAAGGGAACTTTTGTGTTATAGCATGTTGGCAATTAACCAATGAACTCCAATTTTGAAAGGGTTGCCACTACTGTTTTTAAAGCTTTTTATATTTCCTATGAGACAACCCTCCCATTATTGACCAAAAAAGACAGTAGAGGAGCCGTTAAGACTCCAGATTCAAAAGGAGTCACTTATCAGCACCAGTTCAAAACTTGGATGACCGGTTCAGAAGCACCAAGTGAGGGGTGTAGAAATTCTATGCAGAAGAACAATATTGCCAGTGAACAATATTCAGCTGGAAAGTACATTTCTACTTTACCAAGTAGCTGGCTGGCTCCACAATACTTCAGGCTCTATCTTGAGCACTCTCTAAAATCCAGCAGCTGGCACAACATGGAACTCATCTACAGCAGTATATATCCCCCCCCCCCATTCTTCTAAAATACCAACCTCAAAATAAAATACTTCATCAAACTGAGGATTGTTTGTCTTCTTTTTAACTTTCGTCTTTTTGACTTCGGATCTGCAGGAAAAAAGGGCAAGGAAGAAAAGTTACTCCAAATAGGACCAGCTGAAAATGTGAGGCCTGGTGTTGGTGTTATCTTAAAAGTATGTTAACGGTAGCTTATTTGGATATTTCATCTCCCTAAGCTTCTTGCATGAAAAGACTGGAAGGAGACCTTAAGCTTGCCCATACCTCTTAGTGTTGTTTTTTTTTTTACAGAAATAACTGATTAATTAAGGAGGTAGATTTATATCCTGCCTTTCCTCATGAGCTTCTGTGGCTGAGAGTGGACTTGAACTTGCATCTCTCTGGTTCTAGTCCAACACTTTCCATGCTCACTTCCACAAAAAACAGGCATTTGAATTTAATTATGTCTGTGTTGATCTTTTTCTCATTTTCTTAAAGCTTTATAAAGAGATTTATAAAGAAGATAACCTGTTCCACAATCTTAAAGAGTGTTATAGGTCATAACCAGCCATTTGTATTATGCCCAGATCCAGACCAGTAGCGAATGGAGTTCTTGCAACAGAATCACATGATTTGGGCAACAGCAGCAGTTTTGACCAGCAGATGTTATCACAATAAAAACTGATTCTCCACAAAGAGAAGGGTTTGATATTAACTCACACATTCTTAAAGACAGTCTCAATTTTTATTTATGTCATAGGATTCTCCACATAACTTTAAGCAGGTTGGAAATATATTTAAAAAACGAATAAACAATAAATGTTACTAACCTGTATGGTCCTGCTAGAGTAACTGTTGCATAAGGATCACACTGGCCGTTCACAATCGGGAGTCCTTGGCATTCTAGAACTCTAAACAAAAAGAGGGAAAATATCACACAGAACACCACAGCAGGAAATGCAACAGAAGGTGGCTCTTCCAAGTCCTTTGTTTCACTTCAAGAATGCAGAACACCACAAGTTGCCAAGTGGATTGACCTTTTGTTTCAGAGATGTCTACAGGTTAAAAAAAAAAAGTCAAGATGGCAATCCCAATGGTGTTGACTGAAGCTCCGCCTGTCTTTTATGCGTGCTGCATTTGACACACATTAAAAACAGATGGAGCTTTGGCTGCACTGACAAGGCTGCCATCTTGACCATACCCTGCAGACTCCCCTAATTGGTTAAAACTGATTTTGGGGGTGGGGGGTTACCAAGTTGGGTCACAAATAGTACAGGAGGTAGAATGACAATCAGATAAAAACAAACTTTTATAACCATACTTTAAAAAAAATGGGTTTAAGATCCTCTTCAAGATTTATTGCAGAACAAAGAGATTAATGTGACTTGCCACACTGCAGTCTCCAGTCAGATGTCAGGAGAACAGAGAACCAAGTTCAACATGCATCTGGATAGCCAAGAGAGAATCCCTCTGCACAGCCGTACAATTATTCATTCATGTGGGAATCTATAAATGCTCATGTAATTAACGTTAACTCCATGGCCCTTAAAAAGAGGTGGCACTCTATTGGCTCTGAGCTCAAGAGAGGCGCGTTATGAGCTCATTCTTGCCTAACAGCTACAAGGCCCTGCTATTTAATTAAGAAAACGTTTGTTTTCTTCTCTAACTTCTGCTAAGCGTTTACTAATCTCCGAAATTTCGCTAACGTGAAAGTCTGATTAAATCCAATCGTCATTTCTTCTCCCCAACAGAGATAACTTCAAAGCTGCAACCAGGGTCTTATGTTCCACCAAAGGTTTAAAATATTATACATCCAGACAACTATAAGAGGGATGTCTTTACATAAGGGCATTCTCTCGTTCTGTTGCACTTCCTGGCTCACTGCATTCCAGGCTCACACTCACTGAATAGAGTGGCATTTAAGTACAATTGCTGGGAGGGAGGGAGGGAGGAAGGAGAAGGAGGGAGCGAATGGGCAGACAAAGGCCCTGTGGAAGTACCATTCCTTCATTAGCCTAACCCTGCTGGGGGGAGTAACCATGGCATGGAGTTCTCCTTGCAGCTGCAGGCTCCTTCCATCTCACGGACACATGAAACAGCAACACAGCTGTGGCGTCCTGGCTGATAGGGAGAGAGATGATCACCTGTGTGCCTCACAGGCACTGCATCAAGGCAGAGTGAGATCAATAGACTACAGAATCTGAGGAATCCAATAATAGTCTCTCCAGAGACTATTTTACCACCGCATAATAGGTTCTTCAGCAAATCCCTAATGTTTGGTAACGTTAGCAAAAAAAAATAATAATAATAATCCTCCCAAGAAACCAGTTCTGCTTCCTAAGTTATAGGACTCATTTTTTGTTAGCCCCAAATCTGTTATAGAACCATCAGGTGTTCATTTTATTTGCAAGTTTATAATAAATTAATAGAACTTTGTGGTACACCTTTTTGAGCAGCCTTTCCCTTTCTTGACTAAGCTCTACTAAGTATCAGCTGCTGCCTCCTAACCCAGATGCTGCCTTAGGTTGATGGGAGTTGAGATTGTTTTCACAGTCATGTTCATGTGCTCTTCTCCTGTCCTTGATTCAGGAGGAAAGTGTATTAATATCAGTTTTGCTGCCCTCACAGCCTGCCTTTATTGGCCCTCAGCAACGAGGACAGGAGATGTTGTTATGCTCACACAACTTAATGTAGAAAACTAAGCACCAGTCTCTCACTTGAATGTATGATAGAGTGAAGTTGGGGGTTGAAGCATTAATTTGTGGGGGGTTGTTTGGCAGGTATATCAACTTTCTATTTCTCTGACAAAGCTCCCCACCGCCCTGCCCCAATAGTCCACTCTTGTGCTTGTATGTCTCATATGCTTTCTCTACTTCATAATCTCCCAAATAGCAGGACTCGTGGCTGACAGAGCTATCAATCTCCTGGGGGGTTGATATTGCAATGTAAAGAGAAAAAGACTAGGTGCCCACTCTCTTTTACAGCCAAATCCAAAAATGGCCATGCAGGCACAACACCAGCAACAGATGGGGAGGAGGCATTTCCTCCACAGACTAGTTGGGCCAGACTAGCTGAACAGATTCCTTCCCCAATCAAGTCATATCTGAGCTCTTTCCTGTGATACCCTAGATTGCACAGATGACAAGCTTTGTGTTAGAAGAAGAACAAAAATACCACTTCCAAACTGGAACAACAAAGGCCAATTCTAAGCTGACATGGAGGCAACATCATGAGGACAAGTCCCTCGAAAAGTAAAGTTAGTAAAGTGTTTTCTTGCCAAGGCAAGCAAGATGTGAGGATAACAAACTGGAGGAAGCTCCAGATTTAGTGCCTGACTTTGGCATTGTCAACTGAGATCATGAAGGTAGCATTTGACTTCTAGAAACTGAAAAGCTGCAGGAAAAGGAAGTGTAACTTCACGAGAACTTTAGCTCTGACAGAAATCACCATAGTCTGCTCCAAACAGCTCCTACCTGGGGAGAAAAATCCACCATAAGTTATGTAGTAATGCATGTTTTATTCTAGCCTTTCCCACCTCCTCTGGAAAGCACCAGTTTGGAGAAGTCATTATTCAATATTCTCCAATATCTTCTGAATCAAGAAAGCCTAGTTCGCTCTCCTTCATCCAATTTCTCAGGCTCCCCTGACCATCTCAGTAATAAATCACAGGCATCCAGACTTTAAATAGCTCGACTAAGTTTCTAAGCTTGGACTTCCAAAAGTCTCACAGTCATAGTTTGGCTAGTTAGGAGTCTTTACTGCCAACAAGCATGAGGCTGAACAAAACAGTTGACTGTCCACCACCAGAAGTGGTTCTTATATCCAGAGGAGCTCAAACCCATAGCATTTTCTTTCTGTCCTTTCCACAAATTAATTGTATAGTGCCAGGAAGCCTTGAAGCTGAGCAGTTGCTGAGTATTTACATAACTGCAAACTATGATCTGAGAATCACTGGATATCAGCATACAAGCCCTGTTTTATAGCTTTTCCCCATTACAGAAGTGATAAACCTCTATTGCAGCTGCTTGACTATCTTTAGTAATATCTGAAGGACACTTCCATCACGTTAGAAAAACATGAAGAAACTGTGTTCCTGAAATTTGCATTTGCTGGACAAGTGTTTCTTCGCATATGCTTTGAGACAGATACAGGAATGCCTTTCAAATAATATTGACAAGAAGCAATTCATCCCTAATGGCTTCACAGGAACCCGTCTTGTGCTATAAATCATGAAGCATCTCTCAGAATGATGCTTTGAGTTTGCAAAACACCAGCTGGGATGCTTAGTAGAGGAAGCAGAGGGGAAAAATCTGTCAATCATAATACTGTCTTAAGACAGAGAGTCAATTCATTAGTAGCTGAATTGTTTTATGAGTTGATTGTGAAAGTGCTCCAAGCTTTTCTTTTCTTTTCTTTAAGAAAAAGACCATTCAGAAAGTCCTTCCATTCATATTTGTTACTATAAAAACCCAGATTCCATTTTCTCCAGTGAAGATGTGACAAGAATTTTAATGAATGCTAATGCACAAAGAAATGTCAAAAGAATGACTTTTACACTTTTTAAAAAGCAACAAAGACCCAGCATTTCTGTTTCTATGCAGGCATCTAACGTCATACTTAAACTCTTTTTGCACAAGTGAACAATTCATGAACAGGAAAATGATGTTTCCAAATATTTAGAATGAGGGGGGGGAAAGGCTACACAGCAGCCTTAGTCAAGCAGCCTCAAAAACAAGGAAATTGTGTAAGGCTAGAAAGTGAACTTGGACATATAAAATGTTAGCAGAAATGAACATACTAATTGCATAGGTTAAAGATTTATAATTAAGATGGCAACCTATTAAAATACTGGAAACATGGAGAGATTTAGACTGACATAAAACACTGGGATTTTTAGAGTATGGTTAACAGTGAAGAAATGCAGAGGAGAAAGCAAATTGTAAGAAAATTAAATTATTTGGCTTCAGGATCATTTACTGAAAAACAAATTGTCAACTTTAAATTTGTTTAATTTGTTTAATTAGTTTTCAAGAATAGTAAGAGAATAAGAACCCAAGAAATATTAAACAAAAGGAATGATTAGGGTCTATTTCCCTAGTCTCAATTAAGGTAACTATATAATTTTCTACATATGGTGACATTATAGATCAGCCTTAGGGGAACTTACCAAATGAACGAACAGGGAAGAAGGGACAAGGAAAAGAGAACCACCACCAGAAAACCTCTGTGATCTGAGGGATTACACTTCATCTATGAAGAATGACAAGGCAATCTCCTAAACATACTCAAGAAGCATGTCCTGAGATTTGCTGATTCTCCATTTCTTGGTGAGGAAGCAGAGACTGTATGAGGAATATAAGGTAGCCAAATTCCAGGGAGTGCACTCATTGAGCAAATGATCAGGGAAAGCAAAGACAAGCTCATAAACGGTGGAGTTCAGTGGAAGAGTTTAAGGAGGGATTTCTAACCATTTTTCCTCCAAGTGAACTGTATATATTTGGCTATTCTGAGAGCCTGAGAAGAGAACAAGAAACAAAATCTTTCTACTGAGAAAGTACAGGAATTTGTAGTTGTAATCTGCCATTCTTGTAACATGTTCCTGTTTTAGAGCAACCTGGTAAATATAAGCTTCTGGCAGTCCTTGAGGAAAATTCAAAGAATTAGCACTTTAGTGGAAGTAATGCTTATCAGATTTGCACAAAATTTGACAGCTAATCACTTAGAAAACAAAAATAAAATTCAAATGTTGAACAGTTAAAGAAACTGGCTGAAAGCAAGAGAATAAAATTTATCAGAGACAAGTGCAAAGTTCCTCACTTAAGAAACAAACAATAAATGCACACATGTAAAATGGGAGATGCTTGGTTCATCAATAGTACTTGTGAAAAATATTTATTGAATGATCACTGAA